CCCCCCCCCCCCCCCCCCCCGCATAGGGGCACACGCTTCTACGATTGTACTATTGCTGTGATTGTACTGTCGGGGCAGACCTCTGTGACGGTGCGGGGGGGTGGCCGAAGGCCACCTCCTTGCACCCGCCCGTGTGCGTGCGTGCGTGCGTGCGTGCGTGGGTGGGTGCGTGTGTGTGTGTGTGCGCGCGCGCGCGTGCGTGTACTGTGACTTCTTTTGGATAAACTTCCGAAAATGTTATATTGATATATCTTTGTTTTGAGTTTTTCAGTCGTTGTGAATAGTTTCGATCGATATGTTTCAATTAATCAGTCAGATTAATGATAATGGCCTTCGGCTACCCCCCCCGCACCCACACCGTCACAGAGGTCTGCCCCAACAGTACAATCACAGCAATAGTACAAATCGTAGAAGTCGTATATCTCTGTGCAGGGGGGGGAGGGTGAAAGTTACTTCGCGTGGAAAGTTCAACGTTTCTGAACAGGAAAAGGTGTAGATTAGTACTTCATATCATACATGTATAGCAGAAATAATACGTTTATTTTAAAAGTATGATTGTTAATAACTTTTTAACGAAGGACGAGCGACGGCTAAAACCTGTCGGAGGTTACTCAGGGTCATGACCTTGACAACATGTCAAGGTCAAAGTCATTGGAGGGGGGTCCCCTCATTGACACATTTACCATATAACAGGTGCATCCAGAAGCACGACCGCTCATTGAGCGCTCAGTAAGCTCTTGTACCTGTTTGGTTTATATTTTTAGATCTAATGGAATATGCCAATTAGGTAAAAAAGCTCATTGAGCGCTTAGTGAGCGGTCATGCTTCTGGATGCACCTATTCTTTCAAACTTACATGTCACAAATTTTTTTATTTCAAATATTGTGGTCCTAATATAATGTAAATTGGTGTAAATTACATCTGTCTTTTTACAGAATTTGCAACACTTTCTCATATACAAAAATAAACCACAAATTTTCGTTTTTATAAAAATATATCAATCTTTAGGATCAATTTTCTTTTATCATCTTAAAAGGGCTTATTTTTGCCTTTTATTTCTATTCTATCAACACAATGATATGTATAGATTTATTGTATAATTTGTATTGTATAGTTCAAAATTATAAGTAAAAATTGATAACTTATGATATGCATTTGTTCCAGAAGTTTGTCAGTATATTTTGTTATGTTTGGAATACAGACAACACCATTTTCTGATATATCATACTCCAGTGAAAATGAAGAACGAAAAACAAAGTATGTATTAGGTATGTATCATCAAACATATTGATCATATTTTATCTATTAATATTATTAATTTTTAGTGTTCTAATATATATATATATTTTTTTTTTAACATGACTTTTCATATAATATAGATAAACCTTTGCACAATTGCTCACTAAACGCATCAGCCATTAGAGCAGAAGTATACACTTTAAGATTGGATTTTAACAGACGATTAAAGCAAGCTTTATTTTCGTCTTCCGCTAGTGTGTATGTTTGTGTAGTTGCACCTATTATTTTTGTACCTCCATATTTACATTTTAATGTAATGTGGGTAGTACAGCATGTAATCTTATTCTGGCTCGGAAGGATATGCGCATACTTTGCTCAAGTTTATCCTTTCAGGTAAGTATGTTTCTTTATGGTAAGAATTATTTTGCCAAATATAATAGTTAAAGTATGTAATCGACTTTTAGATATTGTGATGAGCTACATAGGGCAGCGATGCACTTAGGCCGATGGGTCAAAATAGAAAATCGCAATAATCACATATATGCCGAACCGTGGAATGAAACGATATTGTGGTCTCAAGGATCAATTGTAAGCCACAATCAAGAAGTTTATCGCTCTGAAGGTTTATGTACAGCAGCGGAACCGGGTAATCTAAGTCACTCTAGATTTTATGTATGTAATCTTATTCTATCGACGAATAAGAAAACATATTAGATTCAATGTTAATTATATATTGTTTCTTGTAGGGTTTATTTAATAACCGAGTAACGCTTCTGAGTCCAATACTGGCATTGCAATTATTATTGGTAAACATTCAATTATTTATTTTATTAGGTGTGACCGAATGGTATCAAATATTATCGACAATATTATTATTAATTATACATTATTACACTTTGTTCAAAATGGCTAGAGATTTTCTAGTATCTTGGAAAGTGTATCGTGCTGAACAAATAATTCAAGAAAAATTTCAAACAGTTGTAAACTCAGTTGCTCAATAAAATGTGTCATTTCTCTGTAACATTTTTTACATTTTTCGTATATATTTTCTTGCAAAGTAAAATAAAAAAATTATTCACACAAGGAAATTTACGTCTTATAAAATTTACACTGATATTTAAAAATACGCCATACATGTTTTATAGACTTTTATTGAATATAAAATTAAAATAACATAATATATTGAATGCATTTATTTTAAAGAACGTGAAAAAATTTCAATATCAAAACTAGTTGATGCGAAATCAAATATTTTAAAAATCATTAAGAATTAAAAATTAAATAATGCAATATTCTAAAATATATGTAAAGAGCATACAATATATGTTAGGGAAAACAGTGCTTCTCTAACATAAAAATATATTATTTTATATATAATTTTCTATCAAGTATTTAACTTAGATAATCTCAATTTCTATAAATGCTCTAAATAATAACTGTTATTAGAAATATTATATGTAGATAAATCAAATATTATATGTAGATAAATCATAGTATTTAAAGATAAAACACAGTAGCCCTTATGCAGTTATAATCGAATAAGTTTGGACATATACAAATGCATACTTAATTTTGAAAAAGAGTACGCGTAAATTCTATATAATCCAATGCAGCTGTAATCGATCGTTCTGATTTAGGATCTACGTAAGGTTTCATACGAGCAACACAATAATCAGCCATCTCCTTTGTGAGGTTCTGGAAAAAAAAATAAACTTAACTTGTATTTTGATTACAAAAATATTGTACCTTATACAATATTTTTTTAATAGTATCTGCAGTATACAATACTTACGGCATATAATTCCTCTTTTGTAACGTATGGCCGATCTGCTGCTGTAATTGCTCGAAAAGCGTTCTCTATTTCTTCTGAACTTTGAACGTTCTCCGTTTCCTTGCTGATCATAAACGCCATGTATTCTTGTAGCGATACGTAGCCGTCTCTATTAGGATCCACAACGTCTGCAAATAATAACACACATACACACGGTGTTAAAATAATGTACCATACTAAGAGCCACACTATGAATTGAAATCAACAAAACCTAATATGTTCTCAAATTCTGGATCTGGTTGTCCTTCTTCTATCATAGGAAGGTCGTAACCCAAAGCTCTTAGGCACGATTTGAATTCTTGATGATTCAGGCGACCGCTCTTGTCCTTATCGAAGTGCTTGAACATCATAGAGAATTCTTTGAGTGCATCTTCAGATACACCAGACTGATTTCGCGCTTGAATCTGTTGTTCCAAATTATGTTGCATACGCATTCCCAACTGATCCAACTGATCCCATTGTTGTGCCAATCCTACAGTGCTATGTTCTGTGTAACGATTATCTAGAATTAAATGTTCCTCTAAAATAGCTCCTAGATCTTCAATCTTCTTCAGATCTTGACGACGTGCACGTACTTCTTGAGTTTTTCGCTGTAAATTTGAATATAAATAACATAACCACACAATAAATATATAAACCTTATAAACATAAATTATCTTGTGATAAATATATTTGTTTTAATTAAACAACCTTCGTAGCTTCAAGTTGCTGTTCCAAAGATCCGGATCCTTCCATCATTGATGTTCTACAAAATAAAATAAATTATTTGCATTTCTATTCCTAATTAAATAACTAGGTAAATAAATTTCTAGAAGCAAACCTAGTTTCCGCAAGCCATTGATGGAAGGCATTGGCATGCTTGGCGAATTCCTTACGTAATTTATCATTTTCCTCCTGTCGCTGTGCTTCTTTCGCGAGCTCAACATCGCGTTCCTTAATAATTTTCTGTAAGTTTCGCCAAGTATCTTCCAAGGCTTCCATCGTGAACCATGTGTATGGATTCGGTCCAACATTGAAGCTCTTAATTTGTCTGTCAAGAGCAGCCAGGGCTTGGAAATCAGCTTCAGCAGAGGATAAGCTAGCTTGGAATTGTGCGTGTGCCTCACGAAGAGCTCGAATCTCCTCAATACTATTACAACGTACAGGATCCGTTAAATCTTCCTCCGCATTCTCAAACCAAGAGTTGAAAGCGGATGCTTTCTTTGCAAATGTCAGATAGAGCTCTTCGATCTGTCTGAATTGATCCTGCATTCTTAATAAACGTTGTTTTCTCGAATCGGAATCGGCCAAAAGTTTTTGCCAACGAGCGATGACATCAGCATGACGTTTTTGAATGCTAGGTGTTTGATCATGACCAGAATCAACAAGCATTTCCTTCAACGAAGTGATATTCTGAATACCTTCGTGTTCGAAAGCATGAAGACCAGCATCGAAGGTCTCCTGTTTCGTAAGCAGAGTTTGCACGGTAGACAGATCTCGACCAAACTCCTCGGAACGTACATGAGTTTCCTTATCAGCGATCCAAGACTCGACTACATCAGCTTTCCACATAAACTGCAAGTACGCTGAGTTATCATTCAGTCGTGTTTTTCTACGAGCTGCAAGAGCTCCGAGTTGCTCCAATTTATTGCGCAATTGTGCACATCTTTGACTGGTAGCATCCGCTCGATGATTGCCAGCTTTGATCAACGCCTCGCCGGCTTCGCAAATGTCTTTGCAACGTTCACCATGAGCTGCGAAGTCTGTTTCAAATGCATCGTGTTTTTTCAGAAGACCTTGTACGGCAGCCATTGTATCACCATAATCTTCAACGGAAAGTAATTGCTGCTTCTCTGTAATCCAAGCTTCTTCTTCTTCAACCTTGGCAAGGAACTGCTGATACGTTAAGGATTCATCCAACTTTTGTCCCCTAGTGGCAGCTAATTGCTTCAGCTCAGCCCATGCCTGATTAAGGAGCTTCAAACGTTGCTCGATTTCGGGTACTCCTAAATTTGAAACGTCCATCAATTTTTCTCCTGCTTCCTGGACAGCTTGGATGGCAGGTTCATGACTACCAAGTTCAGCCTCCAATCTCTTGTGCTTCTTCTTCAAATTCTGTACGCCCGTAAGATCGCGACCGTAGTCATCCGATCCGACAAGAAGTTTCTTCTCCTTGATCCAAGACTCTTCGTCAGCAATATCGCGGAAAAATTGATGCAAAGTGTTAGCTTCGTTGAGTCTCGCCTGTCTATGTGCTGCCAAGTTTCTAATTCGCTCATAACGTTCATTTATGCTCTGGCGTTTTTCTTGAATACCGGCAGCATCAAATTGACCGCTCTCGATCAATGAATCGGCTTGTGCATTCATATCCTTAATTCTTTCCTCATGCGCCTGTATATCTGCTTCAACAAGTTGATGTTTCTTCATGAGATTCTGCACGGAGGCTAAATCCTTGCCGGCATCTTCGGATGTGAGTAAACTCTCGACTTCTCCGAGCCAGAAATCAAGATCCTTCACAGCAGCAATATAAGTACGCTGCTTATTGGCTTCCTTCAGTTTCATGGACTTTTCTGTGGTTTTTTGCGTAAGATATTCCCACTGATCAGCAATGGATGCTAGTCTCTTTTGAACTGCATCCTCCGAGCCGGCACATTGATGCTTTTCGATTAAATTGCCTCCCATAGCGAGTACCGATTGAATTCGATCTGCATTGGCTGCCAATTCGGCTTCGAATGCCTGATGTTTCTGATGCTTTGACTGTATATTGGCAGGATCTTTATAATTCTCCTCGGTTGCTAGCTGAAGTTTCTCGGCAATCCAATTTTCCATTTCGTCAGCATCTCGAGAGAACTGCTGTAAAGTCTGAGATTCGCCCAGCTTCGAACGCTTCTCGATAAGAGCATCCTTTAAATGTCGCCAGCGATCTAACACTTGACATCGTCTTTCATCGATGGGTTTAGCGGCGTAATGCTCAGCAGCGATCAACTGATCAGCCAGAGTTTGTAAGGTAGCAATTTTCTCTTCGTGAGCGTTGATTGCCTTGTCAAAATCTTCATGCTTCTTGATAAGAGCTTCAACATTATCACTACTATCTACTGCGTCTGCACTGCTGAGAAAAGCCTCTCGTGCGCTCATCCAATTCTCCGCTTGTTCACAATCCCTGCAGAACAATTGCAATTCGAGATTCTGATCGAGTTGCATACGTCGTTGAATCCATGCTTTCTCTAATTCTTGTCGGGCTTCAGCCATAGATTCGAGTTTCTCCAGTATCTCCACGCTAGCATAATGACTAGATTGCAATAGCTGTTGACCGAACAGTTCGAACGCCTGAAAAGTACCTGCTCTAGCATCTATCTCCATCCGGTGCTCCTATAAAAAGAATATACGCGCACACACACACACACACACACACACACACACACATATATAGATATATACATATAACAAGTATAGTGTGTGCGCGCGCGCGCGCGTCTACACACACGCACGCACGCACGCACAACAAAATTAACGCAACACCTGTTTCACTCTGCAAAAATAGGCAAACTTCAAGATAGAATAACTTCGTCAAAAATCATCGTATCGAGATGTTTAAAAAAGCATTTTACAGCTTGAAATCTCTACTTTTCAGATCGCTACATAAAAAAGTGGTCTCAGCGGAGTTCCACGGGGCGGACTAAAAATTGTACGCAAATGCGATTTACATCACTCGAAAGAGCGAATCTTTACCTTTAATTTGCTTTCTAACGAAGCTCTGTACGTTTTCTTTTTCACCGAGTTATTCAACGTTGAAGCAAAAGGATCAATTTTTCTTCAATATTGAATAACTCGGTGAAAAAAAATCGTACGAAGCTTCGTTAAAAAGCAAATTAAAGGTAAAGATTCGCTCTTTTGAGTTATGTAAATCGCATTTGTGTACAATTTTTATTTCGTGCGTTGGAACTTTTCAAATTTCATAAAAAAATTTTAAGTTTAACGCATTTTTATTTATGTTTGTTAAATTTTACGAAATATCACACATACACACGCACACACGCACATACACACAGTAAGACCGTACTGGTACTTTTTGAAGTACCAGTCTGAGAAGTAGAGATTTCAAGCTTTAAATTGCTTTTTTAAACATCTCGATTCGACGATTTTTGATGAGTTATTTTATCTTGAAGTTCGCGTGCAGCTACTGAACAAAAT